CCAGCAAAGCCAGTGATGGGGATGCTGACAGGCAGGGGACAGGCTCAGCGCTGGTCCCATGTGCATTTTGGCCTCCCAGATACACACCGCCAGCAGACAGGTCACTGCCTCCCATGGTGCTGGGGCAGCTCACAGAACAGCTAACTAGCCTTTACCGCAGAAATAAATGGCCACAGCTTTATTAAATCAATATTAATTCATAATCTTTAACAGACAATTACAGTTATCTCACACACAAAACTACCCACCTCTTCAAATCTCCAATCTGACAGGGTTATAATTAGCTTATTACTGGCCATACATCTGCTAATAACTTTTCCCCCAGCCCTGTGAAGTGAATTAAGGAGCAGTAATAAACCATGGCTGTTAATCCATTTATACTTCTTATGCTTTTGTCTAGGCACCAAATGTAAAGATGCATTAAAGGAGGTTTTCTCCTTCCTTTCCTCCAAGGTCTTGCTACCCAACTCCTGGCCAATTGGTGTGTTTTCATGTTGTCAGCCCCATGCCTGGTGGGGAGCAGAGGGTACTTTGGGGAGGTCCAGTGGCAAGGCTGTGAACCCCAAAAGTATCCCATGGGAGGGAATAAAAGGCAGGCAGGCAGGCAGCAAACACAGGCTGGCTTTCTGCTGCACTCCCAGCACTGCTGCTCTCACTCCTCTGCCATGGAGCACTGCCAGTGCTGGTCATTAGCAATAATGAAAGTGAGATAAGACGCGTTTGGGGGTGGAGGGAAACGCTGATCTGAAACGATGGCCAGTAATAAAGGGCAGCGGAGAGGCACCCTGTGATGTGACCAGATAAAAGCAGATGGCTGGCTGCTGCTTCTAATTATAGGTCCCTGCTAATGAAGAGGGCGCTGATTAGACTGACATTGTCCTAGGACATCCATTTCTAGAAGGATCTGGTGCTAGGGCTCAGCATGGGTGCTGTGATGGGGGTCCCACTGCCTATCAGGAACTGCCCCACCCTGCCTCTGCCCTGTTTCTGCCCCACCATCCACACCACCTAATGGGGTTTGCTCCTAACACGGGGACACTTGGGTCCAGGGGACTGTGGGGATGCAGGGTAAAACACAGCACTGATATCCCCATGTGTTCGGGCTGTGGCGGACAGGAAAGCCCTGAGGTCTGAGGAATGATCCTCTGAAGACAAAAGGAAGCTCCTTTTGAGTAAGAAATACAGTTGAGTCTCATGGGTGAATAATTTATGCTGCTTACTGTAATAAGACAGAAGAAATAACCACATTCAGTTCTGGTTTCATCATATTTTTGGCTATGAGTAAAACAGCAGAAAATGATGAGGGCTTCCCACAGCAAAGCCAAGCGCCTGAGACTGAAACTGGTAGCCAGGCTGCTTCTAACCAGAGAGTTGATCTTTTGCATATTTTTGGTCTTGTTGGCACCGCTCGTCCTCCATGGAAGAGATCTGAAGTGTATTTGTAATGACAGCTCTGTCTCTCTTTGCTGAGCTCAGGCAGCGACGTGGGAGCCTTCCCAAACAACAGTGGGAAAGGGACCCAGCCTCATCCAGCCTGCCATGGTCTGGTGACGATGACATGGCACACATCAGTCCCTGGTGGGGCTCAGGGACCCCTTCACCAACATCATTGCATCAGCCCACAGCATCACTCTGTGCCTTTTCCCTTTTTTTCCCATTGTGGCCTTTGGGGACCTGATGTGGCCCTGGAGCAATAACTCCAACGGGATGGGATAACCCACTGGCACGGGATGCCGAAGGATGCTCTTCCAGCCTCACATCCCATGGGGGTAGAAGGGTTTGGGTTTCACCCTCAGAATATGAGCTGAAGTCAGAGCAGATCTAGAGCTCCTTCTCGCCCTTCCAGTGCTGTCCTTGCAAAGCAAAGGCTTCCCCACTCTGGGTGTGCTGCTCTCTGCATGAGCTGGGAAATTTTGTTTGTGGAAATATTTCATTTTAAGACATTTGGTATTTTTTTGAGACTGGGAAGAACTTATTTTCCTCTTCTGTATCCACTTAAACACCAGTGAGAGCCCTGCTTTGAGGTGGAGAAGCATCCTTTAACAGGAGACAGCAGGCTTCAAGAAGGAACCAGAAAGATGGGGCAGAGATTTTGCAAGTCCTGCAGACTGGAGAGGGATGGTGGAAATGGGAAGCTGCAAAATCAGATAGGATCTGGCAAAATCAGGGGGGATAAAATCCAAAACTCAGCAAAACCAAACTGATGCTCGGGAGTCAGTCCCTAAAACACTCCATATATCTTTCAGGCAATGACCCTTTCTGGGTGAAGTCCATGGGAATGACCGACAGGGCCCCAAATTGGTATTTTCGATGTGGCTGGAAAAGCACAGAAGCAGACGGGGTTGTGGATGAGGTGACACAGGATGAGGAGCTGGTACCCATGTCCCCAAGGGGTGGCTGATCCCGGCTGGGAGAGCTGGGCTTGGTTAAACAGGAGGGATCCTGCCACTGTCAGGCACTGGCTATGGGCACCTTCCCGTGGACACGGAGATGGGCAGGTGGCTGCAGATAAATCCTTGCATGGTGCTGCAGCAATTCCAAGCTGTGCTTAGGAGAGGAGCAGCAGTTGCCAGGGCACCAACCCTTTGACATCTGCATGGGCCTTTGCTCACTTAGTTCAAACAGAACCTCACCAGGGCTTTTTTCTTCTTCTTTTTCCCCTCCTTTCTCAGAGAACTCCACTTTTCTTCTCCCTCCTCCCCAGTCGGAGACAGCCAAACAGGGGGATAACAAATGAGCATCTCGCTCACCTGAGGAGCTCAAGCCGCAATCATCCAGCTCCTTGTAGCTCCAAAGAGCCAGGAAGCGCCAGCGTGCTGGAGAGGAGATGTAATTAGGTGCAATTCAAGAACAGCTCATCAGCTATATTTAACAAATGGGCCCATTCCTCAGCAAGCAATACACTGTGGAGGGACCAGGCTCCCCAACCCCAGTTTTCCAGCACTGGAATGGGCAAAAGCCGTTTGTGTCACTTTATTTCCTATGTTGCACTTTTATTCTGTAATGGTTGTTTATCCTGTAAACATCTCATCCGAGCAGGATCCAGGGTTCTTTAGCGTGTAGAGTCAATCCAGAGTCACTGGATTGAAGTTAGTTGGAAGGAGAAGAGCACAATAGCCCCTTTTATCCTAATCTTTCCACCCGGAACAGATGGGAGAGTCCTGCCCTAGCCCTGATGACGTGCCACGAAGGACACGGTAACAGAGGAGACACTGTGCCTTCTGCTGAGAGAGGGGAAAAGAACGTATGTGTGTGCAGGCACGGGAGCATTGAGTGGGATGAGAGCATCAGCATCCAGCTCCACCAGCTCCGCTCCCTCAGCCCACCAGCTGGGATCAACACGAGGGACCTGGAGAAGCACCAGGAGAGCTGGCACGCTCGGGGCGCAGTGCTGCAAGGCTGCTGTGGGTCATGGTGACTCGGACTTGTTCGCAAAGCAGCCTCTGTTTTCCATCTCAGCCACTGCCGTGCTGGGAGCTGCTGCAGTATCACTGCCAAAGCCTGTCCTGAGTTCTCGTCCCAGATCACATCTGGGGACAAGGAACAGAGAAGTTCAGGAGCCAGCCACAGCCCATATAGGAGGCGATGCTGAATCCAGGCTTGCCTGACTACAAAAACCTCTTAAATTCACAAACTGCATTGAAGTACCAGCTTAACTGCAAAACTCACTGCGGTAACCACTGAAGCGCCCTGGAGGAACACTCATATTCTTCTTATTAATGAGAGTCACCAAGCAGAGAGAAGATTTGTGCGTCAAACTGTGGTGATGCTTTCCCATCCATCACACCCCAGAAGATGAACCAGGGATTCCCAGCAAGATGCTCAATAGCTGCAAGTAACAAACCACGCTGGTGGCCAGCAAAACACCCCCATTCCCTAAAGCGACACCCCAAGTTCGAGGATGTGCTGACCAAAAGAGGTACTAAAACCCCCAAGGCAGAGTCCTCTGGCCAGAAGGGCTGGGTGCTTACTTCTAAAGCAGTGAGTCCATGGAAAGCAGGGCATGATTCCTTCCACGGGGAAGGATTAAAGAGCTATTACGGAGATGCAGGCTCTGTTCAGGCTCACGCTAGGCTCCTTGTGAGCAGAGGGTAAAGAGCTACTTATGCTGGAACATAAAAGCCAGGAGACAGCAGAGCGCTATAAATAGGGCATATAAACTTTCAACTGACAAGGCTCTGATTTTGTTATTGTAAAAAAAATAGGAGAGAGGGAGAAAAAGTGCCTAGGTGGAGCTGACAAAGAGGGGAATACATGCAGAATACGGGTTTGTTCCCAGTAACGCGCTTATTATAAGTCAGATGTAGTTAGAGCTATTACTTTAGCTTCAAATGAATGGAAGGAGAATAAATCCGCCTTTGTGCAAGGCTGCCTTCAAATAGCATCTCCCTCTAGCAAACCTGCAATTGTGTTTGCATGAGACATTTGTTAGAATAAATGCAATTGAAGAAGAAAAACAGTTCACACCTACGGCAGGGGAAGGCTGGTGGTATGAATGGCAACCAGCAGAGGAGGAGGGTGAAACAAAACGGGCTCTGTCGGCAGGGGGCAAAGCCTGCGGCACTGGAACGGGCTCTCTTGGGTGGTGATCCTCTGAGCAGTTCAACCCCGGTCCCCATCCCCACGTGTTACATCTTTAAACCAAACCTGTTTCAACTGTTTTCCCAATGGATGGTGAGATTAAACACAGGTTTTCTAGGGAAAGGATGGAGCACACTGGAGGTGGGGAGGAAGCATCTTCCGCAACTGTAAGCAGTCCCGCCACCACAGCCATTGGGATCAGACACTGAGGTTTGTCCTGCATCAATGCAGGACACGGGGATGGGCTTCCCAGGAACACCCTGACATGCTGCAGCTGCACAGACACCAGCACTTTATCAACCAGAAGCACATCCTTTATCTCCTTCTGTGTGGCATTTCTTTAGAAGTTCTTTATTTTGTATCTCATATGCGTAAATAACTTTCCTAAGACATTAAAAGTGCTTGTGAGAGTTGGGTTTTTTTTTTATATTTTAAACAAATAAAGTGTTTTCTTCCTATAGCACATCACCACTGTGTTCTGACCTCTAACTTGTGTGGCTGAGCAGCCCTGGGATGGGGACCTGCAGTGGTGGCACCTTTTCATGCTGCTTGTCACCTTGTGGTACCCACAGGCACGTCCACATCCACTGCAGTGCTACCCCCGAGCTGCAACACTGTGGATGGACCATGACAAATGCAGCATCTTACTTGGGCAACAGCCTAAAGAAGAGAGGAGAAAAGCCCTCTGCAAAGTCCCCTCCTGCCTTCTTGTGATGTTACTATTTTTATTATTATCCCCATTGAATTTATAGGAGGAACTGTCTGGGAAAATGACTTTACCTCTGGTTCAGTCATAAATTTTTAATAGGGCAGAAATAGAACCAAAAGGGATTTAAAAAAACAGAAAAAAACCCCACTTTAGCATCAAACTCTGGCTCTATTCATAATTAATTATACTTTCAGGGGGAGGGGAAAAGAAGAGGAAACATAATTACAAGCTTCTAGTGAGAACATTCATTATCATGCTAATGCAGAAATCAGTACTGCTGCGCCTCTGTGTGTGTGTGTGTGTGTGTGTGTGTGCGTGCCCTCGGTCTAATTACTCAGCAGTGATGTGTGTCATTCGCACATTTACCTCGTTGCTCCATGGGATCTTGAAGTCAAAGTTAAAGAAGATGAATCCCAGCCCTGGGTCAATGGGATTGGGATCAGCCGGTGCCGGAGGGATGCTGCACCCCTGCAACAGAGGGGCTGGGTTTTGCCTGGTGTTTCTCAGTGCCCAGACAGCAAATAACATCCCAGCCTTGATAGTTTGGGCTGATAAACCATTACGGGAGTGTTAGGAGGCGTTTCAAAGTGTGAAGAGCAGCACACACCAGGGAAGGGAGGAACAAACCAGGATGGGGAAGGAAAGAGCCCAGAGAGAGGTGGAAATAGAGAAAAACAAGGCACTATTCAACTATTTAGCACTTAACGAGTTCCTGAACTTGCCGTGACAAAGAGATGCTCACCTTGCAAAGCAGATCCTGAGCATCTGCCAAAGGAGAAGCATCTGGGCTCAGCCAGGATTTAAAACCACCCTGGGCAGGGTGGCCTGGCTGGTCCCAAACACCAGGGAGGAAAGGGCAATTTTGTATATGAGAGGAGAAGGCTCAGCTTAACCCAATAGCACTGATATTGCCAGAAATAGGGTAGTTATGCTTTCTATCCTGTTCCATTAAGCACAACTGGTGGCTGGCATCATACCCCAGTATGGGACCTGATTGCCCCCAGCAGCTTGTGGGATGGGAGAGATCATCAGCTGGGAACCAGGCAAAAAGTCTTCCTCAGCCTGGGCACATCCTGCTCTTGTTGGACACTTGAAAGCTCCAGTTTAAATCAGGGAGGAAAACCTCAGGCTTAGATCCATAGCTCGAACATCACATTCACTCCCAGACGTGTTTATAGTCATGAGTTATCTAAGTTATATTGAACCTAAGTTAGGCATCTGCACAATCCAAGCGTTTCTGTGGAATAATTAAACGGATCTCCCATTATTTCTCGAGCTGCCAAGCGCATGCCCTACTTCTACAGGTTGGAGCACTGCATTTCCCCAGCCATAAATCCTCCTGCAGACTGCAGGAGCCAGAGCTGGCAGGCAGAGCGGAGCCGAGCGGGGACACCCAGACCTCCTGTATGGCTTAAAAGCCTTAGTGCAGAAGAGCTCTTAGAGCTGTGCCACGTTTTGTTCCTGCCTGCAACAGCCGGTCAGGAAGAGAGTGATGATGGGCAGCTGGAGAAACCTGGGGCCAGGAGCAGGCAGTGCTGCAGGAAGGGATTAAAGAGACAAATAGATGGAGCTGAGCTGCAGTGGTGCCATTTCTAACTCAATAATCCTCTGCTTGGATGAGGACACTGATAAATAAAGCAAGATCACCATTGCCCAAGCAACTCTTGCAGCAAACTGGAGGGAGAAAAGTGGGACTCAAGGATGAATGCTGTGGGATTTGCCATGTCCCTGCCTGCCCCCAGCCTCCTGCAAAAACCTTCTTCCCAAAATATCCTCCTATGCACAATGAAAACCCGGCCCTGAGCACTGCCAGGATCCAGGCTGTCAGTTGGGCATCACAGGTCCCAACTTGCAGCAATGCTTCTGGGGACCTGCCGAAAAGGGCTGACAAAACTTCCTTGGAAAAACCTGCTCCCCTGGTGTGGCAGCTCTCCTGGACCTCCATCCCAGGGATAGCGAGAAGGAATCACTGTCCTAAAACCAGGCACCCACAAGCCTGTGTCCAGGCACCTCAGAGCATCCCCAGCAAAGATGCACAATGGACATTTCCCATCCAAAGATGCTCCACAAGCAGCACAAAGACCCTGCTGTCAGCGTGGAGGATGGGAAGAAGGGAAAGTTATTCCTGGAGTTCCCAAGATAGGATCAGAGATTTCTTTTTCTCCCCAAAGGTGGGCTTTGCGCAACATCTGGGAGCCATTCGCTTTCATGTGGGCCCTTCCGGCCTCGCTCAAGCTCCTAATCCCAACATGTAGGGTTGCCTGTGAAGCGTCCCAGCCCTGAACAAACGGACCACACAGCGTTTTCAGCCAGTGCCCAATCTCAGGCCTGTTTGGGAACCTGGAGCATAATTGCTTTGTGGAGGCTGCCAGCAGCTTTAAAAATATCCACCCTACCTCAGCAAGCGGGCATTCCCGTTTTTATCCAGAAATGCACTTGGGAGGCGGAGGTTGAGGCTCACACTGGGTGTTGTGGCCTTGGAAAGAGCCGTTGCAGGGAAAGCACAGGGAGAAAAGAGCAATCTGGCCATCCCCACGGCATTGTGCTAGCACTGGCGTGCCTGGCATGGAGCGTGGCTGGTGCTTGCACACCCCTTGGTGCAGGGGATTGGGCTCCATGGCATTCCCAGCCTCTGCTCTGCCTCATCAGGGCACTTTCCCAAGCCATAAAGCGGATCTCGGGTTTTATGTGAGGGTCTAAAATGAGTTATCACACAAGGGAGAGACAAGCCTGCCATGCCCCCCTCCCCGAAAGCCCTTCCCCAGCAGATAAAAGGGCCTCACTGTTCTTCAAAACACTGAAATCGGAGCCAAATCCCCTGAAAGAAAACAGATGACCTCTTGTTCTGGGAACAGCTACAGCCCTTCCTTTTAACTTGATCACTGCCTCAGCCCTGCCCCAGTGAAAAGCAATAAGCCATGACACGAGCATCCGTGTCTCTGCCACGGGTGGGTGGGAAGAAATCGCTTCCCTCCTAGCCCCTAATGAAGCACCTTGTTAGGGTTAATGGGATACCTGCACCCACAGGGCCTTCTGCAGGGTGCTCTGCCTGCAGAGGCTGATGTTTAAGCCCTCAGTACAGCCTGCAGGAGTCATGGTTTGATGCAGAAAGGCCACATTGAGCATCTCTGCCTCAATCCAAACGTTGCCAGCTGCAGAATCTGGCACTTGAACACACACACTGCATGCAGTCCAGGCCGTGGTTCGAGGGGGTTTTGTGGTTATAACCAACCAGTGGGACAATAAAACTGGACCGAGCACACCCTTTTCAGAGATGTTTTATGATGTATGAAAACAGCCCTAAAGCTTTTCCCAAATCTCCTTGATGGGGTTCAGGAACAGCCAGCCAGGGATAGTCTGGCTGTGATGGGGACCTATATTTGTTGAGCATCCCCATCCTCTGCCTTCCAGGTGAAGGCAATGGGAGCTGTTATCTTTCCACTGAGAAAACTTTGCTGCCAAGAAATGATGTTGGGGGATAATTCCCAAAACACCAGCTCGTGGTGGTTTTGGAGGTTGCTGGTTCAAAGATGCTGTGCCCACACTGCACCTATCCTGCAGGCAGAGGCAGGATCCGTCCCGCAGCAGCCTTCCCCCTTTGGGAAAACACTGTTAATTACAGGGGCACGGACAGCCCAGCGTTGCACGCTCCTTTCTTGCTGCACTTTCTCCATCTGTATGGAATAGCAGAGCTATGAATATTCAGGAGGGAAACGTGTGAAAAATCAGTGATATTTTCAGGATGGGCTCGCTCTAGCCAGGGAACGTCATTTGCGGCAATTGCGAACCAAATCCACAGCCCTTCACAGATGACAACAGATCCAAGCGGCCTTTTTGCACTGTGAAAATATTAGCCTTAACACCTTTCCCCCCTCCTCTTTCAACATTTTCCAACCAGTTGCTGCTTTCACAGGCATTCCCAAGCGAGCTGACGGCGGAAAAACTTCTCCCGTCGCAGTCGCGCTTGCTGCCTCGCGCTGAAAATGAATAGCACTTTCTTTCCCTCCCCTCCTTCTCGTCGGAGAGTTTCCTTGGTAGGGATGAAACCACGGAACAGAAGGCCGCCTAAATGAAATTATTAACCCAGAGAAACCACTAAAGGAACTTGATTAATTTGCCAAGTAACAGAGCCCGGTTTGTTCTTTTAGGCAACACATCTTAAAGTAATTGAATCACCCCTTGCAAAAAACACAGTAGATGATTGAGCCCTGAGGTACGCTCGCTTGCTATCCTCAATAAATCTCTCCTGATGAAGGAGGTGCTATGCTTTTCTCATCAGAAACCTGTTAATTTTTTTGCTCTTTTAAGTAATTGAATACAAAGTTCAAAATCAATCTGCAGCAGGCTTGAAGAGAGGAAGAAAATCAAAGGTTTATCTCCTATTTCATCTCAGCCAGTTAATTATGCTCTCATAATTGAGTTAAACCAGCAGGTTATTAAAAATACCACAGGATCAGTTTTATTGTTTTTTTATGAAGCCCCAAATCTTTGGCACAACCAAATACCCCAAGATTTGGATCATGCCCTGGACAATGCAGGATGGATCCCTCCGCTCTGAACATCCCCAAATCTCTCACAGGACAGATGTCCCATCCTTCTGATCACTTATGTGGCCCTAACTAAGACATCCCTGACTGAAAGAAACCTGTACTGAGCTTGGTCATGCCCTGGGATGGAGGAGGAGCACCATGATGTGCATGGGGCTTCCAACTCAAGTATATTTCTAATCAGCGTTTTGCTTGAAATTTTACCCATTCAACTAATTCCACTAATTCTAGGGAATTACAGAAATAATTGCTGTTTTCCAATAGATACAGGCCTGCCTCTCGAGACAGAAAAAAAAATAAGGCAAAAAAAAAAAAATCAATGAAGCACTGTTTAAGGAAAGTCAAAATAAGCTATTTCCATCCCCTCATTTGCAATTAACTTCAGAGCAGAGCACAGTGGGAAGTGGTTCATGGGAAAAGCACGACTCCATTGTAACCCTCCCTCCTTTTAAGTGGAAAGAGCAGTGGAGATAAATGCACCCAGGGAGCTGCTGCTCCCTGCCGGGTCACAGCCACAGTCCCTCCGGGCTGCCTGCCACTGGGGAGAGCTGAGGGCAGTGGGATGAGGGCAGCAAGACCCTGCATGGTGCTGGGACAGTGGCTCTGGTTGCCTGCAGCCACCGCCGTTGTGGTCCTGTGTGAGATGCTCATCCCCATCTGCATGCAGACCCCACACCTCAGTTCCCCAGGAGGTATCTTCCCAAAGCAGAGGGAGGAACGGGATGAAAGGCATATAACAGGAAGAGCAATCACCTTCCCTGGGAAAAATGAGCTGGTGCTCATCAGGTTGGAGCTGGCAGAGCAAGCAGAGGATGGAGCTGTCTTTCATCTCACTGGGCTGAACACTGCCTGAAAGAGGGATGGCTCTTACTATCGTCTACTTTGGTAGAAACATTTTTGGCAAAAAATTAAATCAGGATT